CTTTGTCTTTTAAGGCTTATATCCAAAATTACTGGATCTGAACAGAAATTATTTTTTAGGATTCAGTAATTTTAGAAAAATTGATAAAAAAAATGCTTAGATATTTTGGTATCAAAATAATAGAGTCAAACAAATGCTAAAATCGATTGAATAATTCAATTCACTATTTATTATGTCTGTAATAAAAGTAGAATTTTCGAAAAATAAGAGAAATACAAGTAATAAGCGCTCATAAGATGCACACAATTTAATGGTCTGTCAATAATGATAAGAAATTTATTGAAAATCAAACTCATGGCTGAGATATTGAGTGAAGTTGTAGTGATTGCGGTGATGTCAGTACCAACAGTACCAACGACTGAGTGTCAACTTATCCCACTTATTGAGGGTATAAATGACTTGAATTAGAGCATAAGATGATTCATTTTCATCCAATATTACCGGTAATGCTAATGCAAGTATTGGCTCATCATTGATAATAAGCACATACAGTACTACCAAAAGTTTTATTCACTGGGTTTGTAATACCAAAAGCGGTGTTCAAAGTGTAGGAGCTTTAGAGAGTTGGTGTGTGTTTGTGCAAAGCAATGCTATTTTATAGGTTACGCATCACTGGCATCATTGAGTGATCTCATTCTCAACTTAACTAACTTTATATGACTTAAGCCTCTGTTAAACCTTTTCTCTTGATCTCAATTTTTTCATATCTCTTTCAATACGACGAAAGGTTCAATGAGCGACACAAACGACAATACTATCCATACGAATACTACTGATCCAACCCATACCCCTACCACCAATACTAGCACTAACGATCACACCAACACTTCTAACACAAAAGTCACTCAAATTGCAAATCAATGTGAAACACATTCACAGCACCAGAACCACGAGAATCACGAGATGCAACAAACCGACTGTGATATACAACGGGACCAACACATCCAAACTACTCCACACATCATGTCCACCATCCAAGAGTCAGAGGAACACACTTCAGACGTTGGGGACATTGATGCCAACACGGAGTCCAATGCATCCACTCCTCAAGATATGATCACTAGTGAAGAGTCCACTCCAACCATGCAAACTATACACAGAGATGACCACAACTTACAGCTCTCTCTTAGTGATGATAAGCCATCCAATTTGGATATAACCTCTAATAGCAGTACTAATAGCAGTAAACGTTTCAATATTAAGAATAATAAGAATTTTGAAAATAAACTAAAAGATAACTTTACTACTCATGAAAATTCGAGTTTTAAAGCATCGGGTGAAAGAAAAGCTCAGGTATTGTGCTTTTTATCTCTCTCTCTCTCTCTCTCTCTCTTTCTTTCTTTCTTTCTTTCTTTCTATTTGTTTAAAATAATATGAAATAAATGATATAATATTTTGCATGAATTATAGGAAGAAAATGATGGGAATACTGACAAATACAAGTGTCCCGTATGTGATCTCAAACTGGACTCACAGCACACTTTTACAGTACATATCCGACAGCACAACCCTTCAGACCACTCGCACACCTGTAGATTGTGTGGCAAAACACTGAGTTCTGCGAGTTCTCTGGACAGACATATGTTGATCCATTCGGGCGAAAGACCCTTCAAGTGTCGCATTTGCAATATGGCGTTCACCACGAATGGCAATATGCACCGACATATGAGGACTCATGGCATGGATAATAACAACGATGACTGCAACGGCACCGACACTAACAACAGTTCCAACAAATTAATTAAATCTAAAAAACGAAAAGCGAGTGAAGACGACAATAGAGAGCCGCTAATGAAGGCATCGCCTAAAAGACGAAACTCGGACGTGGGCACCGATCTCACGGTCCATAAATTGAATGCAATTCAAAATACAGAGATATGTTGTCCGATATGCAAGAAGGCTATGATATCCAAGAGTGCGCTCCACTCGCATATGGAGGCGCATCCAAATGAGCCCATCTGTTGCCGCGACTGTGGTATGATTGTCAACAATTATGCCACTTATACGCAGCACCGGTGCACTGCCATCGACGGCACGTCCAGTATATTGTCTCCAAACCGAATGAACTTTTCGAGCGCACCGGCCGTTGGCTTCTATGACCTGAGTTTCACGGACTTCACGTCCAGAAAGTTCTCAATGATTGCCAAAACGTTTTGCGAACACAATCTCCGCAAAGCGAGCAGTCCTTACCACGAGTTTGAGTGCGACAAATGCAAGCGAGCCTTTCCCTGTGCCAGTGCTCTCAATCTGCACGAGTCCTCACACGACAGTCAGACCTACTGTCGCTTATGTCAGCACGACTTCGTCACTCCCGCCCTCTTCTTATCCCATCAAATGAAACATCGCTTCAATTACCCGATGGTATCGATGACCAGTTCTATACCACAACCGCTAGGCTTTAAACCATCGAATGAGTCGTACGGAGATGTCCCGCATTCAGACAAAGAAGACTTTTTGGCATTACTTGATCTCCAGAATAAAGGCTCGCAAATGAATTCCATTCAATCAAACTATAAGTTCACTCGAAGTGAAGACTCCTTTGAAAATAATTCTTATTATATTCACGCGAAGCCTTTGCCGCCTCCGCGGTCGACACCATTCCAGTCCAAAGTGACCCCCAATGGCACTGAAAGCGATTCCAATAAACATGATTTGGCAGACATTCAATCAATCATATCTGTGACCAGATCTGCAGCCCCTCTCATGTCAAGTATCCGCTCATCACCTCCGGCTGCTTCTCCCGCATCACCCGTTCATTTGGGAGTCAGTGGCGCACAACCGGACTCTCCAGTGGCCGCCGACTCGGCCAACGCCAGCCCTAACACCCCATCCATTAGTAAAACAGAAAGCGATGAGAAGTTAATGAATGAGAAACCGCTTTCAATAGTGACGGAAACCGAAGACGAGACCAGACCTGTGTTTAAATGCAACAAATGTTCGCTTAGTTTCAAGACTACCAATGCCTTAAAGCGTCACAATCGGGGCCATACACAGGGCGGACACTCGTATGCCTGTCATCTGTGTCCGTACACCAGTCTGGACAAGAGCACCCTGGTCAGACACCTACGGACGCACAACGGCGAGAGACCCTTCCAGTGCTCGATCTGTAAATACGCGTTCACTACGAAAGCCAATTGCGAGCGTCACGTCAGGAAACGCCACAAAAAGTCACAAAAACAGGAGATCCGAAGTGCTATGCAATACAACCCAAACATGTCCACCGCCACAGCCCTCTCTCACCAGAACTTAACCAAAACTGAGTCAAACCCAGTGCTGTCGCCCGCAAGTGACACCTTTCCAGGAGGTTTTGATACGATTTGTAAGTACTGTAACGTGGACTTCAAGTTCAATCGAGTCCTCAGACATCACTTGAGATCTCTTCACAACAGTTGCAGTCGAAAGCCGTACTGTTGTTCGGTCTGCAAACTTGGCTTTAGTACTAAAAACAATTGCATTCGACATGTAGTCAAACAGCACCCGGAGATGAAAGACAAACTCTCGTCAGTAGTATTCGCTAACTCTTCCATTGGACTCAATAGCGATCACTCGGAGTCGGAGTCTTTATATCTGGATTCACCAGAATTATCATCACATATGACAAAAGAGTCAATCAATATGTCTACAGACAACTCAATGAATGGATCTCTTAGTGAAACATCTGCAATGTCTGCACTCTCTGCACCTCAACATCACTCAAGTTTAGCCGCTTTGTGTCAAATCGCCAAAAATATATCTTCAAATCATGAGAAACCTATGAATTTGGTGATGGACTCGAAGAGCAATTTTGAAGACGACGACACGGATTGTAGTGGTAATGAAGATGAACCCCTAAATCTTGCGAGTCATTCACATGAGGAGCAGCCACTGGATCTGGCCGTTCACGCTCTGGACCTGAGCTGTAAGTCTTCGTATCCCACAAAAGACAAGAGTTGTGATGACATGAAAGTGAACGAAGCCGTCCGAACGGCTGCATCCAGTTTACTGGCGTTGCGCTCAATGACCACTTCATCCGCTTTTCCAACGAGTCTTTCAAACTTTGCCGCCGGAAGTGTTCTTCAGACACCACTGTTTCATCACTCAGGTATCTCACTAACACCTCCACTGCCGGCCCACTCCACTGCACCCATTGCTATGCTATCACCAAATTCTGGCGCTTCTATGGAAGACATCTACAAAATGACAAACTTTCGGATTTCCAAGAATCGACTTTTGCCTCGAAATGAAAGAAGCTTTACATGTATTTATTGTTCGGCGGGTTTTACACTGAAATCAAATATGGAAAGACATATTAAGAGGAAACACCCGGAGTTTGCTCGACCCCCGCGAAGTCGTGGTGTGTCTTCTGCCACACATCAGTCATCACAGACCGGAACCAGTACTGGAAGTCAGTCGAACTCATCCCTTCTGTCCAAATCAAATAACACGACCCTTTCCAATAAGACGAGGGCTGCCCTCAGAGTTGTACTCAACAACAAAGTGATGGGAACTGCTGTTGGAAACAGTATTATATCAGGACCCTCTTCACCGGGTGAGCCGTTTGTCAATAATATGAACCTAAAGAATAGTGAAGAGAATAGCAATAACGCCGATAATACGGGAGATCTGGCGAGCGTTTCCTCACTGATAGACCATTCGGCCAACTCTTCAAATGCTTTGAAGCAATACTTCAATAAACAAAGCGATGACATCGAAGCCAATGTGGAAATGGTGTCAAATAATGGCACAAATGAGACCAAAACCGAAACAATCCGTCCAAACGATAATAATAAAAGTATGAAGAGTTTCAATAGAAAGTCCAGCAAAGAGTGGAACAGTAAGGGCTCGGGTTTGGGGGCGAAGAAACGAAGTGCCTATACTGACTCACCCAACAGTGTGTCGTGTCCCTACTGCGCCCGTAAGTTCCCCTGGACCAGTAGCTTAAGGCGACATATCCTCACCCATACCGGGCTTAAGCCTTATAAGTGTCCCAAATGTCCCATACTTTTCACTACGAAATCCAATTGTGAGAGACATCTGATCAGAAAACACAACGGAAGAGAAAAGCGATCTTTTGTTGAACACACGACCATCTCTTTGGATAGTAAGCCTTATAAATGCAATGTCTGTCCCAACAGCACGTTTACAACTCACGGAAACCTCAAAAAGCATTACTATTTGCGTCATTGGAGTAAAACCGGGAAACAAAACAATATCTTAAAGAATAGGAAAGAAGATATTCGTGAAGAAGAAGTGAACGAAACTAATGTTAACAACAATTCAATACAAGAGGAGACGGGCGACGATCGACTGAACTTCACGTGCTATTTGTGTGAGACATCTTTCAACGGTCGACTCAAGTGCCTCAAACACATCCAGTCCTGCCATTCCAACGAATATCATATTCTACAGTCAAAAGGTGCTGTCGATAAGGTACCGGTGACTGACACCAAACCCATGCCTACAGTTAACAATCAAAATGATAATCATGAAGAATACGAGTCTTATAGTCAGCAAAAGGTGAGTAAAACTGTTGGTCCGATGCATTGACTTTGTATGATGTCTTTGACAATGTCTTTGTATTAATGGTATGATGTCTTTGATGTCTTTGACAGATCCTGTGTGTGTTCTGTCCGCGACAGTTCACTCTCGTAGACAATTTGCGGCGACATATGAGAGTCCATTTGGGAGAGCGTCCCTTCAAATGCATGCTTTGCACCAAACGATTCTCATTGAAGAACAGTCTTCTCCGCCACCACAGGACTAATCATCCGGAGAGTGAATTATCTTCGAGAACCAAAACTAAGTCTAAGCAACCAATCATTCCATCCATTTCCTCGACATCTCTGTTGAAAGAGACTGACAGTAAGTGTTAGCAAACATTTGTCTTATGTGTCAAAAATGATTAACATTTATATCACATATTTAGGCCAAACAACGACTAAAGCGGTTAAGTCTAAAGGAAGCTGTAATTCATTGTTATATTTGATTCCAAAGGATTCCGTCAAACAATTGGAAACATTTGCACAAAATTCCAATATATATGATGGCGATCATGAAGATGGAAGTGATCTCATTCAGAATTTGTTAGGTCTTCAGGACTCGAAGATTTTGGACGATTTGCTCGATTCTGGGGCCGACTCTGCCGCCCGAATATTAGGCGTTAAAGACTTGGCCTAACTCTGTGTCAGTCCACGAACCGGACCAATAGATTGAATAAATTATTTATCAAAGAATATTATAATACATATTGTCCTCGACATCCATTCGTTACAACTTCTGTACATAAATCTGTTAATAATGTTAACACAAAAACATTGTATTCATTACATGCACTGAATTCTAAGGGATATCTATTTTGGACACAATATAACTGACAGTATATCACAAACTATGCACTCATTCATTCAAACTATATCAAGAATTCAAAGACCAATATATAGACATTCGTTTGATTGAAAACTAATCAAATTTTTTAATAGAAAATTATATAATTATTAAATATAGAGTTGAGAGTAATTTTGTTTCTGTTTATAAATATATATAAAACTAATTTGAATGATATTGTAATTATATATGATGGCGATCATGAAGATGGAAGTGATCTCATTCAGAATTTGTTAGGTCTTCAGGACTCGAAGATTTTGGACGATTTGCTCGATTCTGGGGCCGACTCTGCCGCCCGAATATTAGGCGTTCAAGACTTGGCCTAACTCTGTGTCAGTCCGCGAACCGAACCAATAGATTGAATAAATTATTTATCAAAGAATATTATAATACATATTGTCCTCGACATCCATTCGTTACAACTTCTGTACATAAATCTGTTAATAATGTTAACATAAAAACATTTGTATTCATTACATGCACTGAATTCTAAGGGATATCTATTTTGGACACAATATAACTGACAGTATATCACAAACTATGCACTCATTCATTCAAACTATATCAAGAATTCAAAGACCAATATATAAACATTCGTTTGATTGAAAACTAATCAAATTTTTTAATAGAAAATTATATAATTATTAAATATAGAGTTGAGAGTAATTTTGTTTCTGTTTATAAATATATATAAAACTAATTTGAATGATATTGTAATTTTTTAGACACAATTTTAGTACAATTTGTGTATTATTTTTTTGACACTTTAGGAAACTAGGGTTGCATTGCATTGCATTCCAAACCAATTGATTAATACTATAATACAATTGTATGAAACGTTTGTTAATTTAGTGCCTTTTTGTCTGCACTTATGAAACATATTCACAGCAATTATATCCTTATGAGTGGTCTCTTCACTCACTACTCATTCGTATGATTTGTGCCTTTCTTTGCGACCAATACTTTCATACATTCTTTTGCTGTCAAATCAGTTTTGACTTCAAATCAGTTTTGACTTCAAATCAGTTTTGACTTCTTATATAATTCCGTAATATTTCGTTCAATTCCAGTTAACTTTGATTTTTATGATATATTTGAGATAAGTTTTTTGATTAAACATTTGTTAAATAGTTATTAATTATGAATAATGGTCAGGGATGGTATAGATGTATGGGTGTCTCGAATGGCTTTAAATATTATTATTAAAGGCACCGAAACATGTAATTGGTTTTAATAAAATGATTTCGAAAAAAAAGTTATATTTTGTGCATTATTTCGTTTTGAACTATTTTTGATTAAAAAATTAAATTTAAAATTACTTTTGAATACAAAACAAAATTAAGAGACGAGAAGAATGGAGTCATTGAACCCAATGTATGCCTCGACTCTACTGTACTGTATGCTGTATTTGGTCTCATTTTCTGTCACTTATTATAAGTCATGGGATCACCTCTATTCAACGCGGGTTTTAGTAGTAATTCACTAACATTCGGATAGAGAGCCGAGTATGTGATATCTCGTGAGTTTAATGCACTGAAGACTAATAGATTTTACATAATTATTAAGAGTAAGTATGCTTACATCCCTTCCCTTGCTTTCCTAACTTATTCACACCAAAACACCATTCATTGCATTCACTCACATTCATTCATATAAATTATTTATTGCTGCAAATAATGCACACAAATATCACAGAGAAAGTTGCCAAAAAGTTGCTTGATATAGTTTGACTTGTTAGTACAATACTTGAATCGAGATATCTTTATAATTTGATAATTAGAAAATGTTTTCGAAAAGTTCTAAAAGTTTTTGCAAACTTTATATAAGTTATAACATTACAGAAAGCTTTACAGTTAGTGATAGAGTTGCTTGAAGTGAGTTGAGGTCAAAGAACAGATACATTAGAAAACTGTATTTTAATGACAATTTGAATTTAAATATTCAAACATTAAATGAATTGAATGTACAGTAATTGATAAGATTTGTATCGGTAATACGAGAAGTGCTTGACTTTGATATGTTTGCTTGAAAAAGGAGATACAATACATTGAAAATCCAATGTTGTTATCATAGGCTTAGAGCACATGACTGCAACATTCACTGCAATGCTATCCATTGCTAAGCATTTAAACATGAAAAGTGTTTACTTTTTATCGCTTATCGTTAAGTAATCACAATATGTTATCATTGGTTGCATTGACAGCAATACGTCCTCAAGTGATCATCACTTCCAACCATTTTATTGTTTAGATTCATTGAATACTCACGAAATCACTGAATCTCTTTGTGTCGATTAATTGGCATTAATTATGAAATAAATTGATTCATAAATCGGTGCATCGATTCAATACAAGAACCCATTAATTGCAGTCACAATGGATTGGGTGACCGATGAATGGCATGAATTGACTTTCAATCAGTTGTTGTCATACATGGCATCGGCGGGTATGTCACCAATGAATGAGTCAATCCATGTCATAGTCTCACTGTATGTCTGTGTGATAGGTATCATCTTCGGTGGTGTCGTGCCATATATTCCTCAATACAAGCAAATCAAAGAGAGTGAGAGCGCCGACGGCTTCTCTACTTATGTCTGTTTGGCTCTACTCTTAGCCAATATTCTTAGGATACTCTTCTGGTATTCAATGTTTTGTCCACTCATTGTCCACTCAATGGTCTCACATATAAATACACCACTCGTAGGTTTGGCCGTCACTTCGAGACACCTCTTCTTCTGCAGTCAATTATCATGAATTTAGCCATGATTTTGATGATAGAGCTATGCGTTCGGGTCAACCATAAGAATCAATTGATTCCCAGTAAAAACCGATTCTTTATTGGTATTCATTTCATTTGTATTTGATTTTGATTTTGATTTAAATTGAATTAATTTAACGTTAATTTAAAGCCAAATTGAATTGAATGCTTGAATTTGACGACTTTTGACGATTGCTTCTTTCCAACAGACAATCTGAGTTCACATCCAATTAATAACCACTTAATTAATGATAAGAAATGCATGAATTACATGTTAGATAAATCGGGTTCAGTTTATTTCATTGATTTAAGTAATTATCACTACTTCTCACAAATCCGACTCAATATTCCGTTTCCAGACTCTTATCCATTACCTCCTCTTCACTCCTTATACTTTACATATCTTTGCATCCATTGAATGAAAAAAATTCTTATATCATATGAACACTAATTTCAGAGAATAGTAGTGGTAGTGATGGAAGTTCTTGTGAATTGAAGCCAAAAAAGTTTCTTGGTAGGTTTCCGCTTTTCCTCCCTTTTATCTGTTCTTCACTTTACTTTTCGTCTTATGTGTGCATTTGAAACCGTTTTTATCAATCTTTGTCATACACGTGTAGAACAATCTATTAATCATTTAATAATAGTTGCAATCCTTGTAATCATTGTTTAGATCTCGATATTCGCTACTTCTGGCAGTGGACTGATTTTACCAGTTATATTGAATGTTTGGCCACTTTTACTGTTTTCAGTGGACTCTTAAT